ATGTCAATATGGACCAAAATCTCTGAGGAATGTTTCCAGCAACTTGTTGAATCTATGACACCAAGAATTAAAACGGAGGTCCAACCCAGCGCTTGCAAGGTGTACCTAATAAATTAGCCAGTGAGTGTTCATTTCAGACCTATATTATCAACATTTCTAAAGTGCTGTAGTTCTGATTACATGCATATGAGCTGACTTTGTCATTGAGAGGCAGTGGGGATGCTGGATGTCATGTCATGACCAGTGCTTGAGACCAACACACAACAGAAACGGTTTGCAGAAACGTACAATTCCAACATTTATTCTGGCACTTGGGTTGTCTAATACAGATGTTTGTCCCTTTCTCTTATAATAATACAATTTATGTTTATTTAGGCCCGAGCAGAGCTTTATACCTGCTGATCTGAGCTCATTTCCACAAACAGGAGTTGCAGTACTTGGCCTCTGCAGTCTCCATCAAGCACCGCACACCAAGCTTCTACAAGACCCTGTATTAAGAAGGTCCCAGAAACACAAACCTGTGAGTGCAACAAGCCGTTATTTCTACAGCACCATAACAATCTGCCTATTGCTTTTAATTAGATGGTGAAGCAGGTCATTTCTCTGCGCTGTGTTAGATTCAGGTTCCAACAGGGAGTCAGTGTAAACACCGGCGAGCACACCATGAATACCAGCTCACTGAGGAGCACAGTTGGCTCAGTTACACGGTGCCACAGCAGGACCTTAATCACAGGTAACGGTGGTAATGTATGAACAGTAAAATACCTTTTCGTTCCTGAATATGAGGATATTATGACAGAGTTGTTCAGAAATGTTATGGTTTGGGTTTGGTATTCCTTTAGGTTTGTTGTCCCTCCCTTAATCCTTTTTTATTCAGCCATCATTCACTCAAATTACCAGTATAATGGACTTCACTGTTGTGTCCTCTTGTGTCTCAGGCCTCACTTTTCCCTTGACATAAAGACCAAGTCGTCCAAAGGGCTTATCCTCCATGTGGCAGGGAGAGGAGTCGTCCCCTTGCTGGCTCTGTACATGGCAAATGGCAAGATCAAGATGTCTCTCGGGCAAAACAGAATCATCCTGCACAAGCAGCAGAGCAACGACGGGAACTGGCACAGAGTAATTGACTATTTGCTAAGCCTCACGCTGTTGTTGCCAAACCTGTTCAACTTTCCTTTTTTCATATGCAGTTAACAGTAGTTCCTTACATACACTCTTCATGGCGGGAATGTTGTGAATGTTTCTCGATGTTCTGTATAATACGTACAAACATAGAATAGACGGACACTGTTGTTCAGCTGTTAAGCCAGCAATTGAGCTTGTAACAAACCCAAAGTGACGTCTTTCAGTATTTCAGTTCAGCGTGAAACAGCAAAGGTGGCGTGATAGCTGATCTTCTTTATGGCTGTATTGTGGAATCTCTGTTTAAAAGGGGCTATTATGATGGTGGCAAATTTATCACTCAAAATGTGGTTGTGATTGGTGTAAATTTGGGTCTTTGATTGCCCACAATAGCAAAAAAAAAAGCAGCTGTTAATTTCCAGTCGATGACTGTGGATATGGTATGATATCTGGAAATGTCTCTGGCAGATTACATCATCTTTAGCAAGCTATGATGAGCCAACGTTAGTGCTTAAATTCCATGAGATAGTTGAAGCTGAGATCTCAGTGTTTCCAAATTATTTGCCATGAAACAAAAACTGCAAAATGATCCAAAATCTAAACATGGCAGCCACATACATGACAGTGATGAGTTTGGCTCCCACAGCGCAGATATTCCAGCTCTGAACAAGAGTTTTTCTATTGTTACCTGCACCTCCACGAAAAAATGTAGTTAGCTAACGACATGCCCGTTGACGGGAGCGTATCTATGTTTCCCGGGTTCTATGTTCCCCACTTAACCCAGCAACAAAGGTTCCCCGCTTACACAAAAAAGGTTCTATGTTTCCCGGGTTCTATGTTGCCCACTCAACCAAACGGGAAACACAGAACCCTTTTTGTGTAAGTGGGGAACATAGAACCTTTTTTGCAGGGTTAAGTGGGGAACATAGAACCTTTTTTGCAGGGTTAAGTGGGGAACATAGAACCCGGGAAACATAGAACCTGGGAAACATAGGGATGACCCCCCGTTGACTATGACAATAATGCTAGATACTGTAGGTAGCCAGTAGGAGGCCATGATGGTAATCCACCCCATACTCTTGATTTGGTTTTCAGAGGTTGTATGCACACAGCTCTAGAAATGGATGTACTGTAATAAGCTGGTGGCTAGCAGTTGATGGTGCTCAAAGAGTGCTCACAACAGCAACAGTGCTGACAGAAATAATGGTGTTAACATATTTTATTTATTCCCTGGGATATCCAGGTGCTCTATCCGATGTCAGTCCTGCCTGGTTTAAATTGTACTACATTTCTGAGACTGAGCATTTGATATGGGCAGCCTACAAATTTCAATTGAGTGCGTTTACATGGACAGTTTAATTCCCTTTTCATTCGGAATGAAAGTTCATTCCTATTAAAAGTGATCTTGTAAACACCTAATTCAGAATGAAAATGGCCAATGCAATTGAAAATTCACTCTGATGTAAGGGGCTGGAATATTCCGTTTCTAATTGCGAATGGCAGAATTTCTCACACTTGTATACACTCATTCCTCTTTAAGTTCATTCCGGTCTTTCTGCGCATGCTCGTTTCCTTGCCCTTCTCTTGCGATGACGTATATAGCATGCATAGCAACGGGCTGAGATAGAGCAGTCGGACTCGTTGCACTCACCGGTTTCCATTCGCCAAAGCACGGTCTTCTACCTCCCTTCTTCGACCTTCTACCTCCCTTCTCCTCCTCAACAGTCGAAGCATTAGCAGAACAAGGTTGTTGTCGTACTGCTGCTTCAAGAATATAAGCAAAACAAGCCCGAAAAAGGCACTAAGAACAGCGTTGTCAAGCATCTTGTTATCCGGAGCGAGGACTACAGTGTTTTCTTCCGGTAAATGTAGACACGTAACATCTGCCCCGCCCCCTATCCAATCAGAAACCTTCCCTGCCCCAAACCTTGCACAGACCCGAATAAAGGCGATTAAACTGATCTCCGTGTAAACCCTCAT